CATGAATATGTAACCGAGAGCGACCCTGAAGGCGGGCACCTCGGAGAAGTCCCTGAGGAGGTAGCCGAGGGTGGCGCTGGAGAAGGGCAGCATGTTGTAACGGCGAGTCTCATTCTGAAGGCGCTCCGTCTCCGCCAGCACCTCCTGGGGGAGTAGAGAGGGGATATGTCTATGAAGAGGTGCCTGGTTAGAGAGAGAGAGAGAGAGAGAGAGAGAGAGAGAGAGAGAGAGAGAGAGAGAGAGAGAGAGAGAGAGAGAGAGAGAGAGAGAGAGAGAAGAGAGAGAGAGAGAGAGAAGAGAGAGAGAGAGAGAGAGAGCAAAGAGAGAAGAGAGAGAGAGAGAAGAAAGAGAGAGAGAGAGAACAAGAAAGAGAGAGAGAGAGAGAATATTGACAACCGGGTAATACCCTTTAGAATCAGAGAAAGTCAATAGAAACAGGAGATTCCTAGGTCGCACAAGGGGAGACTCGCCTAAACCACCGACCAGGTTTCCCCGTTTGACCTCCCACAGGGTCATCCATTGTTATCCACAGGATCTGTCTGATAAAGTGAAATATTATATCGAACAAGCCTCGTCGGTCGATTTATCAGTCGATACCGAACACCAAGATAACATTTCCATTTCCTTGCTAAAAAAAAAAAAATCTAAAAGAAAATCTACTTAATTCTAAAATATATTTACTGATGTCGTTTAGGAGGGAGAAAGGAGAGAGACAAATAAAAGGAAAAGAGAGAGAGAGAGAGAGAGAGAGAGAGAGAGAGGAGAGAGAGAGAGAGAGAGAGAGAGAGAGAGGAGAGAGAGAGAGAGAGAGAGAGAGAGAGAGGAGAGAGAGAGAGAGAGAGAGAGAGAGAGAGAGAGAGAGAGAGAGAGAGAGAGAGAGAGAGAGAGAGCGAGAAAGAGAGAAGAGAGCGAAAAAGAAGAGAGAGAGAGAGCGAAAAAAAGAGAGAGAGAGAGAAGAGAGCGAAAAAGAAAGAGAAAGGAGAAAAGCGCGAGAAGAGAGAGAGAGAGCAGACCTAAGGGCCTCACCAAGGGTTCAGAACCCGGTCTTCGAAAAGGGAGAGCCACCAAGGGTTCGGGGTCAGAGGGTGCAAGGAGGGACATGTGATATCCTAGCTGGTCCTTGAAGGGTGGAGGGTGAGGCAAGACGCACCCTAACCCACCCTGCCCTCTGCTCGACCTCTGCCCACCACCTGCCCACCTTCGAAGCAGCGTCCAACCCACTACTAGGTACAGATTTTAAAATTTCAGGAAGGGGGTGGGGGGGGGGGGGGTTATGTAATTTTTGCCTAAACACACAAACAAAATTGGAACTTTTGGCATTTGTAATTTCTTTCCGTGGATTTCCTGAGCTCAGCACGACAGAAAAAACTATTCAACTGTACATAAAAAACACTAATAACAATCCTAATTATGTTGACAGTAATAATAATAATAATAATAATAATAATAATAATAACAACAGCAATAATGAGAATAATAAATAGAAGATGGTGAAGAACAACAACAATAAACAACAAATAATAATAATAATAATAATAATAAATAAATAACAATAATAACAACAATAATAACAATAATAACTACAATAATAACAACAACAAAAATAACATTGACGATGTGACGACCTAACAACAATAATAGCGATGAAACGATGACGAGCTAAAAGTCTTGCATCACACCGGCCGCTCTGGTATTTCTGGGCTGGTATGACTCCATCTCCGCCACCTGTCGCTTCCCACGCACATACCAGCATACCACAGCACGGCGGCCACCTTGGTATCATCAATGACCGAGATATGTTTTAAGCTGGCGATAATAACTGGGATGGAAAGAAGCAAGTTGGGAAACGTAAATTAGTATGGAGGAGGGGGGATGGGGAGGGGGAGGATGAAGGGGAGGAGGAAGGGAGGAGAGGGAGGAGGGAGGGAGGGGAGGGAGGGAGAGAGAGGAAGGGAGGGAGGGGGAGGGAGGGAGCGTTTGTGCTGCAGTCTGCCTATGCCTATGTTGGTCTAGCCACAAAACAGCACGAAACACACTAAAACCTAGAACGAAAAAGTCAAAACCTCCTTCACAAAAGAAGAAGAAGAAGAAACGAAAAAGACGAAAACAAAACGAAAAAAAAAACCCCACCTGCGTGAACTTCTGTTGCCAGGCCTCCAGCAGCTGGTTCGCCTTCTCCTGTGACCAGTCGACGTGGTGGACGCGGTAGTGCTGGTCGTAGTACTCTCATAGAGGTTCTTGGAGCCCATCAGCTGCACCATGCTCTGCAGGGCCTCCGCTCTCTGGGGGGGGGGGGGGAGGAGAAAAGGGCGAGTTTAATTGGAGAGAGAGGAAGGGAGAGGGAAGGAGGGAGGGAAAGGGGGAAGGAGGGAGAGGGAGAGGGAGAGGGAGAGGGAGGGAGAGGAGAGGGAGAGGAGAGGGAGAGGGAGAGGGAGAGGAGAGGAGAGGGAGAGAGAGAGAGAGAGCAGAGGGAGAGGAGAGAGGGAGAGAGGGAGAGAGAGAGAGAGAGAGAGAGAGGAGAGAGAGAGAGAGAGAGAGAGAGAGAGAGAGAGAGAGAGAGAGAGAGAGAGAGAGAGAGAGAGAGAGAGAGAGAGAGAGAGAGAGAGAGAGAGAGAGAGAGAGAGAGGAGAGAGAGAGAGAGAGAGAGAGAGAGAGAGAGAGAGAGAGAGAGAGAGAGAGAGAGAGAGAGAGAGAGAGAGAGAGAGAGAGAGAGAGAGAGAGAGAGAGAGAGAGAGAGAGAGAGAGAGAGGAGAGAGAGAGGAGAGAGAGAGAGAGAGCGGAGAGAGAGAGAGAGAGAGAGAGAGAGAGAGAGAGAGAGAGAGAGAGAGAGAGAGAGAGAGAGAGAGAGAGAGAGAGAGAGAGAGAGAGAGAGAGAGAGAGAGAGAGAGAGAGAGAGAGCGGGAGAGACAGAGAGAGAGAGAGAGAAGAGAGAGAGAGAGGAGAGAGAGAGAGAGAGAGAGAGAGAGAGAAGAGAGAGAGAGAGAGAGAGAGAGAGAGAAGAGAGAGAGAGAAGAGAGAGAAAGAGAGAGAGCGAAGACAAAAAAAGAAAGAAAGAAACACGAAATCAACTATCATCAAATAATCAAAAAAAAAAAAAAACACGACATCAAAATGGACTCGAACAAAACCAGCTCACGCCCGGCAACCCACCTGACGATGTGTCCCGTCTTGTTGGTCTGCGCCCCGCCCACGATCAGGTCCTCCGGCCAGTGCATGAACTTCCCGGCATATCCGTAGCAGCCGCCCGTCAGCTCAGCGCCCACGTCGAGCTTCTGTGGGAGGAGGAGAGGGAAACATACTCTTGTGACAAAAATGAAAACCAAATACATGATAATATGTGGGTATCTGAGACTTCAGACAGGAATGCCTAAACGTGAAAAATATCTTATACATACATGACAGTATGCAAAAGGAAAGAAGGAGAGAGAAAAAAACGCGTTTATGGGCGTGCGGGCGGCTTCCTGAAAGACTTCCGCTGCCGGCCAAGGCGTGGTGGACGGGGGACTAGAGCAGAGTACAATGAAACTCTTGCTGGTGTAGATGCTATCTGCAGGAGCCAGGGTCGGGGTGAAGGCTGTGGTGCCACTCTCCCCTCCCCCGCCCCCCCTGCCCCCCTCGCCCTTGCACTCTATACTGCATTCCTCTCTGCCCGCGCCTTGGCTCTCCTGGGACAGCCGAGGTCACATACATACATACATACTTCCATCACACACACACACACACACACACACACACACACACACACACACACACACTCACACACAGCGTACGCCTCATTTACTCATAAATACACAGAAAAAAACAAACAGATGCGGCTGTTGGCTATCTCTCTAATTACGCTTCATTCAAGAGTACCTCTTTGGAGTGCTTGTTGGGAGCAGTTTCCGGGCACTCCGGGTCGGTCGGGTCGAGGCATGGCTTCTCCTGGTAACCCGTTGTTATCCCAGCCTGGAACAGAAAAAATTAAGGATTGGTCAAACGTTGTCTGTGACGTGAAATCGACGAACGTGACAAAAGAAATGTTGTGGGAGTTTCTTTTTTATTTCAGTAAATAATACCTCATTGGAGTGAAGATTTGGGGTAAATAGACACGTCCCTTCCCCCTCCCCACCCCCCTCCCTCCGGTCCTTCCGCGCACTGCACGCTGCTCCCCCGGCCGCATGCAAGCCATTCGCACATTAGTAGCGGGCGGGGCGGGGCTGTCGGCGAATTACAGTTTATCAGTTGAGCTCTGGCCCGTCCGGTAACCTGCTGTGGGACCTGCAGGACCTGCGTCTCGGGTTACAGGTCACACGCACGCCTGGCCACCCACGTCCCGAGGTAATGAAGGAGATGGCACAAAAGCTTCACCGTGCAAGGCGCTCCGTAGAGCTGCAGGAGTCCCCCTGTGTTGCCCCTGACGCAACCGTGGTCGTGTTACGTGCCGCAGGCGACGCTCCCGGGCTTGCGGCCGTGTAAGTTTAGCCGCAATTAAACGGTGAGGCCTCGCAGTGCAGCGGCGGTCGGCTCGGATGACGGGTGACAGAAGGTGACCACAGGGCGGCCATGTTACTTACTTCCTCCCCCTCCCGACTTCAATCTCTTCCTCGCTATTAGCTTCCTTCGCTCCTCGGGTCCCGCGGCAGCCCCCGAAATGCCCGTCAGCCTCCGCACCCTCGTCGGCGCTCTCGAGGCAGCAGCGCGCGGGCGTCGGGCGTCGGGACGGCTCCTCGCCTCCCTTCCCGAAGCACCGGCTACCGAAGAAACCCGATCGCGGTCTCCCTCGACACTCTAAACGGTAAAACCACAACCCGCCCGCCCGGGACCACCAACATCCACTACCCGCGCCCCGATACCCGCGTTACGCCGTCTCGCACGCCCGTCCGTAGCGCCTGTCTGCAGGCACGAGGAGGAGAGAGGAGAGAGGAGGAGGAGGCCCTACGCACGCCAGCGCCGTCCACTCGCTCTGCGCCGCCAGATGAGGGGCCAGGACGCCAGAGATGAAGAGGGGGGGGGGGGGTGGGCGAGCGTGGGGGCGGGGCGCTCCGATGTTCGAGTCCCCTTGGCGGGTGGCTCGAATAACACGGCGGCCGCAAGACCTAACTTTAATTACAGATATTGACTCTCCTCCCTCAGTTAGGATGACTGCTCGATGTCCCTCCAACAAGCGCACGGGAGTTCCACTGCTGCGTTAAGAGCAGCCCTCGCGCCGATAAGGAGTGAGTCACCGCAGTCGCTGCAGCCGTCCCACGCCCCCTATTCCCCCCACCAGCTCCCACCACCCCTCCCTCCCCCTCCTAGGAAGCACCCGGTAGTCGCACATGTGTTTTGTGTGTTCAGACTATTAAGTAATTAGGTAATTAAGCCCTCGTTCGTGCAACATATGTCGCGGTGTCCGTTTGCAGGAGCTTTGACGTGTACGTTGCACCATTATCTTGCCGCGGCCGGGCTGGAATATGGCTTCTCCGTCGCGAGGCCATGACGAGTGCCTACTGGGTGCTGGGAGGGTGGGGGGGGGGAGGGGGGCAATGCTCATGCCGGGCAATACTGAACTGCGCATCGTGGGAGTTTTAAACTGCCTTCTTTATTACGCTCTATTTCAATATTAATTATTTATATATAAATATAATATATATATATATATATATATATATATTTTATAGACATTTCCGCCAGTATATTCCACTCGCAGCGGCTCATTGAACAGAACCCATTCACGGGGACAAAGAAACCCCCTCCCCACCCCCCCCCCACCCAACTCTTCCCCAAACCCCCTCTTCCCCACGCCCTCGATCACACCAGGAGGCTCGGCGGGTCAGACACCCAGCGCCAGTCGTCGTCCCTCATGTCAGTCAAACGCGGTGCCACCTGACCTGCCTGGCTCGGGAAGGACCCGTCACGCATGAGGTCACGCTGTCGCATGTTCTGGCTCAGGGTCGCGGGACATCCCTTAGTCCACGGGGCATTAAGGTCGTTTTTTGGCTCTTTGTGAGGAGCGGCCGATTTATGAGAGGAGAGAAGAAAATGTGAAAATCATATTTTTTTTCTCCATAATATGAAAACTTAATAATAATAAAAGTAAATATAGTAATGCTAAGAACAACAACAATAATAATAATATAATGAAAATATGATAATATAAATAATAATATAGGATAATAATATTATAATAATAATGATGATAAATAACAATAACAATAACAACAACGAATGTTAAAACCGAGAGCGATAACTAAAAATGATTCATCTTTTCTCAACGCTATATTCCTAAATTTTACGCTCGTTCACTTTTTTTTTTATTTTTTAATACTTACAGATTTTTTTTGAGAAGCCCATGAACTACCCGGCCCACCAACTCACACGACCCCACACGACCCACGACCCCGGGCGCTGTACAAACAATGAGAAACCAAGCTAAGGTCACCCCTGTCACAGGTCACATACCTTGCCACAAGTAGATCGGGTCACACGCCCCACAGGTCGCCTTGCCTGACCACACAAGCCCCACATTTTCCCACATGTAACTACCCGGCTGAGAGGAGGCGGGGGGGGGGGGGGGAATAGTCTTCTAATTATCACCGTTTATTGGCCTTGTGTATTAATCAATGTAATTAATACACAATATTATCATTATTATACTGTGTATTAATTAATGTAATTAATACACAATAATATGTAATTAATTAATAATAATTAATTAATTAATGGGGGGGGGAATAGTCTTCTAATTATTACCGTTTATTGGCCTTGTGTATTAATTGATATACTACGATGAAAGAGCAACTATCCAAAATAAAACGTGTCCTGTTATGTCATTTCCAAAATACACCTTCGCTAGATAATTTTAATAACACTGGCATAACCCCTTTCAAAAAAAAAAAAAAAAAAAAAATATTTAATAAATTTTAACTAAAAAACTGGCAAAATCCACTAAAAGGAGAGAGAGAGAGAGAGAGAGAGAGAGAGAGAGAAGAGAGAAGAGAGAGAGAGAGAGAGAGAGAGAGAGAGAGAGAGAGAGAGAGAGAGAGAGAGAGAGAGAGAGAGAGAGACGAGAGAAAGAGAGAAGAGAGAGAGAAGAGTAAAAAAGATGGAGAGAAAGCGAGAAATAAAGAAAGAGAAAACAGAGAAAGAAAGAGATAGACAGATCAAACAAGACACAAAAAAAAGAAAGAAAAAAAAAATCCATACCCTTCAAACCCCTCAAAAAAAAAAAAAAAAAAAATAAAAAAAAAAAAAAAAAAAAAAAAAAAAAAGAAAAAAAAAATTAGGAGATACACCGATCAAACAAGACACAAAAAAACAAAGAAAAAAAATCCATACCCTTCAAACCTTAAAAAAAAAAAAAAAAAAAATTAAAAAAATCCAAAACATCTTCCTCCTTCACTTACCCTCTTCATGAAGTCGGCGAAGTAGGAGAGAGAGAACGCGTGCTCGGCTCCCTCGCGGCTCACAATCTCCCTGAATCGGTTGACGATCTTCTGAGGGTTGAGATTGGTCCATCTGATGCCCGAGCCCAGCAATCTATCGAAGGGGGGGGGGAGGGGGAGAAAGAAAACAAGACATTAGACAAGAAGGACCAAGTCGGGTTAAATAGATCGAAGAGATCTTAATCTCTAAACAACAGAAGCTCCAATTCGTCACGTCACCGGCATTCGGCAAACGTCTTCGCAAGCATTCGGAGGAAATGAAGAAGAAGAAGAAGAAGAAGAGAGAAGAGAGAAGAGAAGAGAAAACGCGCTCTCTTAAAGCGTGTAACACATCATCGTCAAAGTTAAATGCATATGTATATCCCCTGCTTAACACCCTTTGTTGGGCTGCGCTTATATAACGAACGACTCCATTCACTGCACCAGGTTATGGAAATCAGCCTTATAAACAACGTTCGCAATATAAAGGAAGTAATGAGAGAGCAAGTGCAGTAAGAGTGGCCACGTCGGCGGAGCAGCCCCAGCCGGCCGGGCCACATGGACCACACTCTGCACCACCACATGGCATGGGGCGCAGCTGCATCGGACGCGAGTGGGCCAGCGACATGCTTGTTACCGCTCCATTATTACTAATAACTCAATTTCAGCATTCCAATAGGGAGACGTCACGGCCGCGCGGTCCCGAGAATGCAGAGCGAAAGGGAGACGCAGATAAGAACGGAGATAACCGACGGAACAGGCGGAGGGAGAGCTGATAATCAAGAGATAGAAGGCGCCAAACAAGGAGAGAGTGAGGAAGCGAGCCCAAACAAAGGCTAAAACATTAGGGATGCCGCGTGGCATGAATAGAAGAAAATTAGGAGAATGCCCCGCACAAAGAGCCGCACGATTTTCCATGTCATTCCCCCATTGTGCGAACCAAAGACTGATAGGCGTTATCGGCCAGGCGTAGCGGCGGGGCTTTGATAATTATCGTAACCAGGTGGGAGGGGGGGCATGGGAGGGGGGTTGTGCGTGCCCATATGACAAGGGGGCGGCGATGGCCCCGATGGAGGCTGCGGCCCCGCCAGTGGCACGGCGGATGCTTCACCCTGCTCCGTTTAATTGCATAGTACACTTTCTTTCTTGTTTCTTCCCTTATTCTCTTCTCCTTTCCCTTATTTTCCTCCTGCTGCTTCTTGTTTCTCCCCTTATTCCTTCCCTGTGGCCCGGTTGTCCAATTTCTTTCGCTTTTATGATAACTTACAGAAACTGCGGCAAAAGTCTCGTTTCCTATTAAGATGGAAAACCCGAGAGAACTTGGCATTCGGAGTGAGTTTCCGCCCGTCGGCCGCCGTCGCTGGACTGCACTTAATCCTCCTCCTTGCCCACGCCCGCCGCCTGCCCTCTCTCCCCTCGCGACGCCCCCTGTGTCCCCTCTCACACCTCCACTCGCCTCCCCGCGCCGCCCACGCCCGCGTCCGGAGGTCAAGGGTCTGGCCACACGACGGGAATAAATGGGCGACGACTAGCCTAGCCTGGCTGGGCCGATCACCTAGCCGCCCACACGATCCTGGGCGCCCACCCCTTCCATGCCCGCGCCCTCGCTACACCGACCCCTTCCCCTTCCCCGCGAGCGATAAGGAATCACCCGAGTCGGCCCTCCGCCTGCGCTGCCCCGCCTTCGGAGCGTCGGGGCGCGGGGTACCGAAAAAAAGGAAGGGAAAAGGGGCGATCCACAATACCAAAGGGATCTCCCGGGAAATGACACGTGCCAACTTCGGAGCGTCGGGGCGCGGGGTACCAAAAAAAGGAAGGGAAAAGGGGCGATGAAAGTACCACAATACCAAAGGGATCTCCGGGAAATGCAGCGTACCAACTTCGGAGCGTCGGGGCGCGGGGTACCAAAAAAAAAAAAGGAAGGGAAAAAAGGGGGGATGAAAGTACCACAATACCAATTACTCCCGGAAATACCGCGTACAAATCACTCCGGATTACGAAATCGCCCTTAAAGAAGAAACCCCGACGGTGCACCAACGACCGGATCCGAGACGGCCCGGTTTTCCTCTGCGAGTGTGGTGCCATCTGGACACCTGCTCGACGACCGAAAGAGACGACCGAGTCTGTAGCGCGACGACGAATGCCTTCTGCGAATGACTCGAATGCCCTGCGATGCCTCGAATGCCCACGAGATGACCTCGAATGCCTTCTGCGGCGAACGACCCCCGGGGATTGGGACGTGCGCGAAACGGCAGGAGAAGAGGGAAAATGTAGAGGGAAAAAGGTAGATAAGAATAGACAGGAAGGAAAGAGGGAAAGAAAAGAAGGGAGGAGGGAGGTGTAGAGGAGGGAGGAAGAAGGAGAGAGCGAGAAGGAGGGAGAAGGAGGGAGAGCGAAGAGGGAGGAGAAAGGAGAAAGCGAGAAAGGAGGGAGGAAGAAGGAGAGAGCGAGAAGGAGAAGAGGAGGAAGAGGGGAGAGCGAGAAGGAGGGAGGAAGAAGGAGAGCGAAGGAAGGAAGAGGAGAAGCGAGAAGAGCGAGAAGATAAGGGAGGAGAAAGAGAGACAGAGAAAGAGAGCGAGAGAAAGAGCGAGAGCGAGAGAAAGATAAGAGAAAGAAAGAGCGAGATAAAGAAGAGAAGAGAAAAAAGAAGGGACAGGACCACCGAGGACGAAGAGGGACACGAAGCAGAGACAAAGGGGAGCCACCGTCAGGGAGTCGGGAAAACAGGTCCAGAAGACACGTTGATTAATTGTAAATGATTGCCGAGTCTCCCTCACTGGGCGGAGGACAACCGGGACACAGGGAAGGAATAAGGGGAGAGACAAGAAGCAGGAGGAGGAAAATGAGGGAAAGGAGGAGAAGGGAATAAGGGGAGAAACAAGAAGCAGGAGGAGGAAAATGAGGAGAGGGGAATAAGGGGGAAGACAAGAAGCAGGAGGAGGAAAATGAGGGAAAGGAGAACGGAATAAGGGGAGAAACAAGAAGCGGAGGAGGAAATGAGGGAAAAGGGAAGGGAATAAAGGGAGAGGCAAGAAGCAGGAAAAGAGAATAAGGGGGAAGGACAAGAAACAGGAGGAGGAAAATGAGGGAAAGGAGAAGGGAATAAGGGGAGAGACAAGAAGCAGGAGGAGGAAAATGAGGGAAAGGAGGAGAAGGGAATAAGGGGAGAGACAAGAAGCAGGAGGAGGAAAATGAGGGAAAGGAGGAGAAGGGAGGGGGAGAGACAAGAAGCAGGAGGAGAAAATGAGGGAAAAGAGAAAGGGAATAAGGGGAGAGACAAGAAGCAGGAGGACAACCGGGCCACAGGAAAGGAATAAGGGGAAAGACAAGCAGGAGGAAAAGGAGGAGAGGGGAATAAGGCGAGGAACAAGAAGCAGTAGGAGGAAAATCAGGGAAAGGAGGAGAGGGGAATAAGGGGAGAAACAAGAAGCATGAGGAAAATGAGGGAAAGGAGAAGGGAATAAGGGGGAAAATGAGAGAAAAAGGGAAAAAAGCGAGAAAGAAGGAGGAAAATAAGAGGAGAGGAAGAATTAAAAGTGATAAGGAAAATAAGAAGTGAGGAAGAGTGATAAGGAGAAGAAGAAGGAAGGAAGAGAAGAAGGGAGAAAGAAGGAGAGAGGGAAGAAAGAAAATAAGCAGGAAGAGAGAAGTTGGAGGAAGACGAAAGAAAAAGAAAGGACACGATAAAGAATCAAATACGAAGAGAGTGGACGAAAGCAGAGAAGAAAGAAAGAAAAAGAAAGAAGACGAAAGAGAAGAAGAAGAGGAAAGAAGACGAAAGAGAGAAAGAAAGGAGTAAAGAAGACGAAAGAAAAAAGAAAGAAAAAGTAAAGAAGACGAAAGAGAGAAAGAGAAGGGTAAAGAAGACGAAAGAGCGAGAGAAGACACGAAAAAAGATTAGATTCCGAGAGCAGGAAGACCAAGGAAGTCGAGCAAAAGTTGACTACCAGGATGAAGGTCGAGGCGGCCGGGAGATCACGTCGAGCCAGAGAACGATGGAGATGAGGAACATGATAAAGCAAGGAGATGCACACTTTACCCGAGTCGAGAGCGTGGAAGATGAGCGAAAGTAGCGGCGGGAAAGGAAGGGGGAGAGAGAGAGGGAGGGAGAGGAGAGGGAGGAGAAGGGAGAGAGGAGAGGAAGAGAGAGGGAGAGAGAGAGAGGAGAGGAGAGAGAGAGAGAGGGAGAGAGAGAGAGAGAGAGAGAGGAGAGAGAGAGAGAGAGAGAGAGAGAGAGAGAGAGAGAGAGAGAGAGAGAGAGAGATAGAGAGGAGAAGTGTAAATAGGTGGTGGATGGAGGATGGAGGGAGGAGGGAGGAGGGAAGAGAGAGAGAGAGAGAGAGAGAGAGAGAGAGAGAGAGAGAGAGAGAGAGAGAAGAGAGAGAGAGAGAGAGAGAAGAGAGATGGAGGGTCTTTGTCTCGATAAATTTTCGGTGAGAGTCACGGTCCCAGCTGGAGGTTCAACGTGCAGTCTAGGGAATCATTTTGTATCATAGCAAAAAAAAAAAAAAAAAAAAAAAAAAGAAAAGAAAGAAAGAAAGAAAAAAAAAGACGCACATATAAGGTGAGAAGAAAAAGCACGAGAAACGAACACAAAAGTAACGAATAAAATAGATATTCGAAAAGAAAACCCGGATAGATAAATAAAAAAAAAAAAATAATAACAACAGCAGACCATCACAGCAGACAGAAAATCAGACGTCTTTGCAGAGTTAACCATTGCGGTGGTCTCGATGAGGTGGAGGGGGGGGGGGGGAGCTGGCGGCCATCACCGTCAGCTGTAACGGCGGAGAGGCTAATGAAGTCATCTTCCCTTCGAGGTCCCTGAGGGCGGGGCAGGAGGCGATGCTCCGCACTCTGACATACACACACACACGCGCATACACGCACACACACACGCGTATGCACGCACACACACGCATACACACACACACACACACGCGTATGCACGCACACACGCGTATGCACACACACACACAACGCGTATGCACACACACACACACACACACACACACACCTTCAGGTATACATAAGCACACACGTACACGCAAACACACGCTCACAAACACAACAACAACAACAACCATCTTAGGCATACGAAATCTTCCTAGGAAT